CTGCCCTATGCATGCCGACCCAGCTGAGACTCGGGAGTCGGAAAACGTATGTGAGATTTTCATAAATATAGGCATAGGCCTACTAATAATAATATAAGTTTTCTTACCTAAAAACGCAAATTAATTTTAGCTATAGCTAATAAACTAACAATATTTTTTATTGGCAAATAGTGTAAAATAATTACCGACGTTTAAAAAAATATAATAATGACTGAAAATTTATTATTTTACAATTTTTCTATCGGTAAATTTGAAATAGGCCTACTATTCTACTATTTTCATATAAAGATATTGGAAATCACGTTACAAGTTAAAGATCTGATATTGAATTATGTGGCCTTCACCTCTGGTGAATAGTTCTCAAAACTCATTTTATAACAAATAAAATAACAATATTAAATAATGACATTTTTTATTATATATTTTTTCCGATTTTATTTTAAGCTGCTCTAAGTTTCTTTCCTATTCTTTTTCCTGTTATTGTTTAAAAACATTATTTTGCATTCATTATTAATACTAAATTAATAAACATAGGCATTATCCTAGCCTACCTGCTGTAACTTTAATAACAAATTATGTTTATTGTATACTCTACTCAGTTTAACACAACTCAATTTTCTAGATTCAAAGCCGAAGTTACCTGGTGCACCAACCCACCACTAGACTTTCTACTACGGTTGAATATCTAGTTATGGAGCAAAAAAAATCTTGTTGTTCCCACCCATTGCCACCTGATTATAAATCAACGAGAAAATTTCATGAGTGGATTTCCCGCACAATTAAATTTGTAACGGTACTGGGTTTGATCTACAGGAGTTTGTGCTTCGAAAATGTCATTCTATAAAATGCCTTTTGATGGAGAAAGTGTACTTTTTCAGCAAGGTTTGCCTAGGTCGAAAATAACTCAGGCTATATAAAACTGGTTAGAAGATCGAAGATGTTATTCTTGTTAATGAATAGATAAGGATTACTACTATGTCCACTTTTATTGATCTAATCTACGTTATTTACTTTCAGTTAATATTTAATTAAATAACATTTTTTAGATATTTATTTTAAAAATATATTATACAGGACCGGCGGAACGTTTTTCAAAGTGGGGGGGGGGTCTGCAATAGTAAGATGAATGGGAATATGATTCAGGGGGATCTGGGTTAAAATTTAGTGGGGTGGGATAAATATTTTTCCCAAAAACCCAAACAGGAAGGGGGTCCAGGGGTCCTCCCCAGGGAAAATGTGGATTCCTAGATGGCGGGAAATTACCATTTCCGACTTTTAAGTTAGGTGTCTTTTAATGAATTTTAGGTTCTTCAAAATTCATGGTTTTCCAGCTCTTGAAAATGGTCAGGTACTTTCTCATTACAGTAAATAGGCCTGTTATGTGTGTGTATATATAAATTAAAAAAAAAAAATGAGCAGTTGCATACTGTACATATTCTTTTTTCCATCCATGAATTGATACACCCCAGAGAGAAAGGGGGTCCGAACATTTTTATTCCTAGCAGGCAGGAAATGCTTGAGCTTTTCCAACTTCTGAGGTGTCTTTTAATGACATTTAAGTTCTTCAAAATTCAAAGTTTTCCCCTCTTGAAAATGATTCCGGTTCCATGAATCGATGAACCTCAGAGAGAAGGGGGCTCCGGGTTCCCTTGGCAACAAATTTTGATTTCTAGATGGCGGGAAATGAGCTTTCCCGACTTCTGAGGTGTCTTTTAATGACTTCTATGTTCTAAGTTCTTTAATTCAAGGTTTTTCCCCTTTTGAAAATGATTCCATGATGAAGCCCTGGTAAAATGTTGATTTCTAGATGGTAAGAAATGCGTTTACCGACTTCTGAAGTGTCATTTAATGACTTCTAAGTTTTTCAAAATTTAGGTTTCCACCCCCCTTCCCCCCCTTGCAAACGGTCAGGTAAATTTTTCTCATTCTTATTACAGTAAATAGGCCTATTATGTGTGTACTGGTATACATATGTTGCATAGTATTCTTTTTTCCATGAATCGGGGTCCTCACCCAAAAAATTTTCCTAGATGGCAGGAAATGAGCTTCCCCGACTTTTAATTTTCTTATTGTAACAAATAAATATTCAGCTCACGGCTCCTGAAAAGGCAAGTCTAGAATTCTTTTTCTTTGTATTCTTCTTTGGCTGGGGACTGCATAAACACCTACAAGTTTCAATTACAGTATTCAACATCGAACAGAGTCTTAATTGTCAGATTAAGTCTATGTATTTTGGGTCATCCAAATATGTTAATGTCGTATCTGATGTTTATGATTGAAAAAGAATTAATAAGATAACAAGATTAACAAGTGACCTTTTTTTGGAGTGAAGATCATTTAATGTTCACTATAAACTGAATAGGCCTATGAATGCTATTTATAACTTCAACGAAGTGATTGAACAAGTCTGTCAGTGTAACACAATAAAAGTGTTTTTTCAGTCGGGGATAAAAACCACAATTCGTCGGGGAGAAAAAATAACATAGTATTTTCTACATAATGTTTTACATCTGTAAAATCTACATACTGTAAAATGGATTACTTAAGCCTTTGAAACCCTCAAATTGTCATACTTATGTGGGGCTTGTCCAATGGACTACTTTCAAAAGACTTTAAGCGACCACGCCAACTTTGTTCTCGTCTAGGACCTTTAACCCCCGGTCGGGCAAATCCTGGCACCACCCCTAAGTAGGGCAGGACTTGCATTTGTCCTATATAAATGGTAATTTACTACTTCGAGTATAATAAAGAAGTTCTACATCAGTATGCATTTCTAGTTCCATTCCACACTTTAATGCTTAATACTGATGAGTGCATATATTAGAAGTTCAGAGCATATTCTCTCTACTTTCATACTTACATGCGTTAGACGAGAAGACACTGTGCTGGTAGGAGTAACACACTGCAAGGTGTGCACAACTGATCGGGGAGCAACAGAAAGGCCTGCCTAGGCTAGGGCTGTCTACTGTAGGCTAGGACTGTCTACTGTAGGCTAGGGCCTATAGAAAAAAAATGAGATGTTATTACAATATATCAGGCCTAGACTTTACAATAACATTTGCCAAGGTCATATATAGAACTGCTCTGGCATGATTCCAGATAATGTTTAATCATTATAGCTCTGCAATTCCAGCAAAAAAAAAACCGGAGCAATATTCCTCCAGAATCTCCAAGCAAGTCTCACGAAGCTCGCACGTGGGCCTCTCTCTTCCGGCAACAAACAGATAACCTACGTTGACCTAACAATTGATCAATCATGAACAAGAAATTTTTTTTGAGAACCGCAGTACGTATCGTGTAGAATTGTCTCCTGATTTTGTCTAATGGAATCGTATTTCTGGTAGACGATATGGTGATCTTGAGAGTAATTTTTTTGCTTCGTACATTGTCAATGAAAGAGGTGCAAGTGTTTTGGGTGGGTAGGGGGAGGGGGAGAGTAAAAACCTCTTCCTAAACCTATATATGCCACTGCCTATGATTTAGCTTTTTAAGTTGTATTTTTACATGTACTGTTATTTTTTAAGCTTGTGTCTTTATCGAGCCTGTCAACAATACAATTTTCCTTTTTTTGTTTTTGATAAATAAAGTTTTTGTATTTTATTACAATCAAAAGCCTATGCCTACATGCCAAACCTACTTAAACTTAAGGGCTCCTGGTCAACCAAGTATAGTGTGTGGCCACACTGTAACCACTATGGGCTCTAGAAGTAGTGGAATTTGTGAAAAACTATCAACTTACTGGGTGTGTCCGAGGCTCCATTAGCCTATGTGTGACCCCCTAGGGGTTCTGCCTTGCTGAGGGCTACTAGATTGATTTTGCGGGATAAATTCCATCTCAATTGTCTCCTAATTAATTCTAAAAAGAAAAAAAGAAGAATAGATAACCTCCTTGCTTTGGTGCACCTACAAAATGATAATCAGTCTTTCAACTTCAATTTTTAGGATTTTTCTGTTGATAGTAAAACTTACTTACTACTGCTTTGTTTTTCTTTTGCATTTGCACATAATAATAACAGGCAGACTTGTAGCACAAATAAACAAGGTCTCAATGTTTTTCCTTACATAATATAACCTAAACTAAGTGAATACCTATAATAAATAATATTTTAATACATACAGTAACATGACATCATTTAATATTAAACTCTTGAGTATTACATAAAACCATGGCCATCTGCACATTGCATTACTATTGTAATTCCTCAAGTATACAGCCTTCACCCCCCCCCCCCAACTCTTTTCTTTTTGGGGGGGAGGGGAGGGAGGAGATGGGTTTACATCTGGGGAATCCTCTATTCATAAAAATGTTTTTACCAATATAGGGAAATAATGTATTACCATATATATACTCGCGTATAAGACAAGATTTAAAATAGCAAAATACAATTGAAAAACGCGTCTTATAAGCACGACATACACATTATAGACTTTTAAGACTATGTTCGTCTTATGAGCATAACATGTCCGTACATGTGAATTTACTACTGTAATGAAGCTACTAAATGTTAGTACGAATGAACAGTTTTTATTTTGAGGAACATTTAACACTCATAAAATGGTATTATTTAATAGATTAGCCTCGCATTTGTCTCCGTTTTTTTAGCCAGCTAGCTGCAGTATCAGTACCACAAAAAGCAGAAAAATATAGGAACTCCGACCATCAAACAGGGGGTCGTCTTATACGCCCGACATACAAAAATTGTCAAAAAATCTTCTCTAACTTATCAGTCATCTTATACGCCGATCACCTTATATGCGAGTATATGGTATATAATAATTCTTGTGGTACGCCATGTAGATATCAATCAATCAATCAGGGATTTATCAGGCGCACGTATCTATCAACCTTGATATGGAGATGCTCGCGGCGCAGCTGCCTAAAAAATTACGATGCACGTAATTTATGATATGATAGAATTAATATATTATTACTCTTTCCCATGCAAACTTATAAGAATAATATAGGGAGGACATTTAAAAGGCAAATTTTTAACACTGCATGAACAAATCAAAGCTGATCTTACATTTTTTCCTTAAAAGTATTTGTAAAGGTAAATTGAGATTGGTCAAAAACTGAGCTTTTGATTGGGGAAGAACACAACATAAAATCAGAAAATAACCTACAAATTTGAAGCAAGCATCTGAGGTGGGCATATACCCCCAAAAAAACTACAGTATCACATGAATAGGAAGGGCGGGTGCACATACCTGTCTCCAATTGTTCTTTTTGGTTTCCAGTAACCAAATTCTCCATTGAAGACCATTTCTTTCAAATTAACATACGAGTAGAAATCAATAAGATGTTTGAACTTGGAAATCCTGGAACTGCTATGCGCTAATAAATAGATTAAGATATTTTCATATGGTACATTGCATCCTGAAGAAGTTACTGCAAATGCTTGGTGTTGAATAAATTATGTAAAGTATTAGTATAAGTATTAAAACTGCTGTTTTAGTTTTTACTTTATGGTTCAGATTAACACGGCAACTTTAGGGGTCCTAAGCTGGTTTTCCACTGGGTGAATTTATTCGCACAAATCAAAGCGTCGGTTAGCTTCCTGAGCTCTGATTGGTTGCGCATTTTTTTCACTTTGCAAAAACTCCGATAGGAATGTGAATGCGCATGAAGCGACGCTTTCGCTTCGCAAGAACAGATTGGCCTAGTGGAAAGGAGGCTTAAGGTGGAAGAAGCAACTGGTGGGAGGATGCTGCAGGGGTGCAGATGGTGCAATCGCAATCTCCTAAATTGTATTATAAGTCAATCGTGACGCCATCACTGCAACTATTATTGAACTTCCACAGTCCAATAACATTTCATATCGAGTATAAACGGTATATAATAATTCTTGTGGTACACCATGTAGATATCTATGTGGTGTACCGCAAGAATTTATATATTGTTATACTCTTCGCCATGCAAAGATAAGATTGGTTTTCGGCACATGTAAAGTAAATACATCAAAGATAATTAAGATTTATTTTCTATGGTACAATATACAGTATCACAGCAATGTATTAGATCGATGATGATGAATTATACTATACAAAAGTGTCATATGCAGCAATCTAGAGGTACTATTTCCCCGAATTTTATCACCTCAGCCCAAATTATAGTGGGGTAGAGATGGGTGTGGACTCGCGGTTCTGAATGCAAAAGTAAATACATCAAAGCCAATGTTTTTAAGTTGTATTTTCTATAGTACCGTACATCAAACATATTAATTAAATTAAATTAATATACGGTACTATAGAAAATACAACTTAAAAACATTGGCTTTGATGTATATGGTTGTCGGAAATAAATTTGCTTCATTTTGACTATAAAATGGTGATGTGATGATGATGAATTTTACTATATGAAAGTTTCTTGGAAACTAAACATAGCACTTTATAGCAATAGAATACATGTCATGAAAGACGGGCAAGAGTTTTCAACCTCTCAGGTGAGCAATATTGTATCGACAAAATTGGCCAAGTACCAATTGTCAGAGCTTTTTTGCTCAAAACTTGTTCTTTTAGTAGTGTTAATTTCATCTTTAAAATGTGTTCAAATATTTTTAAAAATTTAGTAATCAACATCATTATTAGTTTCTCCATGTTCACAGTTTAGAATTGAGATTTGATTTTAAGCATGTAACAGTAGTTACTATGCCATCAAAGACATTTTTGATGTTTTCTTTTCTTTTGACTGATGTATTTTTGTGATTCTCTTTTAATTTATGTTGACTCAAAAATTGACACACAAAATAAAAAGATTCCAAAAAAGAAGAAAGATGCTCTATTACCTCTTTATTACAGTATTAGTATTCAATGTTTCAACTGCATTCCTGACACTATGGGCGCTATGAGATCAGACTCATCATTTATGTTATCATATGTGGATTTATGTTATCATAGTGGCTTGCTGGCTTTTAATTGGTCCATCTGAAACCAGCGAGTCCCTGCTTGTACTCACTATAGATTTTTCTGTACTTTCATTTGCAGCAGAATTTCTCTGCTTTTTGCATAAAACTCCTGAAATTTATGGTGGTATCATTTTATGGAGGACCAAGAAAAATTGATTAATGCATAATAACAACCACAGACCCTTGTGATAAAACTAACGTGTAAATAAGACATCTCAGAAATTCATCTAATCAATACACACACTTCTGTTATTAAATATATATTGCATTCAACATCGGTAAAGATCATTGACATATAAAGGAGTCTGGAAATGTTGGGGCTGAGGGGGGAGTGAAGGTAAAGTGGGGGGAGTGCTCGATGATTAAGTGAGGGGGAGCTAGCTCACAAAGATAAGGTGATTTTTATCTACTTGAGATAATTGATTTCTTTTGCTTCGAACATTATCAATGGAGGAGGTGCAAGTGTTTAGAGAGGGCGAGTGAAATCTGCCTCCCACCGGCCACCTATATATGCCACTGCCATGATTTAACTTTTTATGTTAGAATTTTACATATGTACTGTTTTTTTTTTTTACCTTTAATTGGGTTTCCTTTTTTTTTAAACAAATAAAGTTTCTCTATTTTATTAAAATCAAAAGGGTAGGCCTACTGGGTTTTGCTTACAGCCTATGGATGTGTGCAAAACCTACTTTAAAACACTTTATGGCTCCTGGGGAGTACTATCAAATCAACCAAGTATAGTGTGCAAGGCTGGGGTTTAGCCAGAAAAACAAATTTCAAGTACTGTACTTGCAGAGCTACGTGCATGCGTTGTGGGCGACTCAGAACCGTCAATTTTCCAGAGGGTATAAATGTTTTGAACATGACGCATGTTGTTAGTGAACTTTTCACAGCCGTAGGCAATGGTTAAGCTTTATATTTTCTGGGAATCCCCACTGAATATTGGTATGAAAACAATATACATTCAATCAATAAAGGTTGTTTTTAAAAAACGTAAATAAGATTTAGCTTTAGTTGAATATATTATTCAATAGATTTGAAGAATATAAAGAATTTGCTAAAGGTAGACCTGGCCCAATTAGGCTAGGCTGAGCTGATTAGGTCAAAAGGTAAAAGTGGCCGTCCTAAACAATTGATGGCCAGCCAAAAGACGGGCGGACGGCTCGCTGGCTAAGCCTATGGTGTAAGGCCACACTGCAACCACAATGGGCTCTAGAAGTAGTGTAATTTGTGGATTACTATAAACTTACCTGGTGTGTCCAAGGCTCACTAGGTTAATGTGTGACCCCCAAGGATTTCTGCCTTGCTGAGGGCTGCTGGGTGGATTTAGTGGCATAAATAAAAAATAGATAAAAGAATAGATGACCTCCTGCTTTGGATTTTTCTCTCGTAGAGCAAAAATTATTAAATGCTGTTTAATATTTAGATTCGCATAATAATAACAAGTAAACCTATAGTGCAAGTAAACAATATGCTTTTCCTATTAAAACTAATGAAAACCTAAACTAAGTGAAAACCCCTCCCTCCCCCCACCCACTTATAATATTATGTAACTGACATATTTATGTCTTTTTATATTTTGATTATATTTGACTTTGTACTTGAGTATGGTTTTTAATTGTACTTTTGATGTTTCCTTCTGTATTTTCTTGTTTGTGTTCCTTTGTACATTTGAACTACAACTACTTGGGCTGCTACTGTACTTATGGGGCTTTTTTTTTAAATAAAGAATAAGAGTTTATCATTGTTAAAAAAAAAACCATTGACTAGGATAAGGATTTCCCATACGAATAGAATACGTAACGGTACTGGGTAAAAGACAACTTGATATCTTGCTTTGAACAAGGCATCCATTAAGTCTTATGAAGATAAGCCTATCCAGTAGTGACATTAAAGGGTCGGGACCAGGACATACCCTCAACAAAGATTGAGATATCTTAAATAGACACAATGTATACACAGGCCTAGTTCTAGAGTCCAGTTAAAATATGTAATAATGTATTTGTGAATTTTCTTTCCTTATAGTTAATCCATGTCAAGTCTGTAAGTAAAAACAACATTTACTTTAATATAAAAAATTGACACTGGATTAACTAAAGGAAAGAAAATTCACAAATAATTTACTGAATCCGGAATGAATTTATTCCCTATGATGTAATATTGCATTGGATGACATATAATCATATTTTTTACTTAAACATTATGTGTCAATATTTATTAATAGTAAAATAAATTAGATTTAACGTAAATATGGAAGAAGCATGAAGAAAGAAGAATAGAAAAAACTCAGAGCAGCTGAAATATTTACCAAAAATAAACAATCCTTTTGATAATATTGCATCACGTTTTTGTGAAAATCTTTTAGGCTCTAATCTTCAGAGGTCGAGGTGCCGGCATCCTTCATGTTTCATATATACATGTGATTTCCAAGATTTCTTTATATGAAAAAAGGTGTAAAGCTTTTAGTAATGCTATAAAGGCCAAGAAAAAAAAAAAAAAAATTAGATGATTCTGAAGAATATGAATTTTGCCTTGAATGATTTAGTAGTAGTGCATATGAACAGGCTGAGAATATGCTAGGAATTGCATTTAAAGATAAAAATGCACCCACGGCAACACCCCCTGGCAGTGTATGACAGTTGCTTTTTGCTTTTGAGTTCGTAAAAGATATAATAATACTAATAAAGATATAACGCCTAATAGCCTAATAATGTATAATGCGAGTGTGCGTATAATAGAATAGTTTTAAGAATATATGAAAAATGTTGCATATATACAAAAGAAACTGTGTGCGATGTTTTATTTAAGATAAAATTGTATAAATAATAATAAAAAATATAATAATAAGCAATATAAGCATTTCTTTCATATTGACATACAAGTAGAAATCATGATTCTTAAACTTGGAAATCCTGGAACCACTATGCGCTATTCAAGGATTAAGACATTTTCATATTATAAATAGCATCCTCAAGAAGTTTGTTGCATAAAAGGCTTTGTGTTCAATAAATTATATTTTGTAAGTTTTTTTGACTGATTTAGTTCAATCCAATTATTTTTCAATAGTAAACTAATATTTTATGTTACTTACGCTAGCTTTCGTCTTGTTGTCAACAAGACTTCATCAGCTGAATGAGTTCAGTTTATTATTCACGACTACTCAGGGGTCCTATATTGGAATAGTCACTTTAGGGAGATCATATAGTTCAAATTTGTTTTCATGTACTTTATTTCAGTTTCTGGTTTTACTGCTTTTTCTTTGTAAGTATTTCAAGCTTTCTAGTCCTTATTTTTGTTGAAAGTAAATTGATCAATGAAACCTGTAAGCTTGTAAAATAACATACTAGAAAGAATCCATAGCTTACCCTTTCAAATGACTATAGCGGCAGTAGTTGACTTTTCAAATTTTTCATCTGTCCACTTAAAGACTAAATGACACTTACCGCTAGCCAACTGTTGCCCATTTGGATCATCACAGGACTGCAGCTCTTCCAATGCTGGTCGTATCTTTCATCATTGATGTTGAATAGCGAGCTTCTAATTAAAAAATAATTAAAATAAAAAAAGTGCACAGTGCCTTTGATCATTGATTTGGAATTGACACTACAGTATATAAATCATTAGCATTACAGTATATTATTATTATTATTATTATTATTATTATTATTATTATTATTATTATCATCAATCTAACCATTAAATTAAACATTTGCTGATCTGTACTGATATGATATGTTAAATAAAATAATAATGATAATAATGATACTGGTAATACTGGTATTAAAAATGATGATTTAAACAAAGCTGATCCAGTATGTAAAAGCGCAGACTCCGAAGGATAATTTATCTCTGTTTTGCCATTATAATATTTTTAGTATTTTAATATAAAGAAAACTACTTTTTTTTTTGCATGGTTTATCATCCATGAATAATAAAATAAAAATTATGAACACACAATATATAAACAAACAATTAATGGAATGCAAGTTGCATGCAAAATACTCTTTTGATTAGAAACCGTGTGCAGTGTTGATCAATATGACTGCATTGCCTTTAATAATAAGTTTAGAATATTTGTCAATTTTGTTTTATTTTAGATATAAAGCACTTTTAATTCCCCGGGTCCACATGCTCGAATGTTGTTTCTGGTGGAAAGAAACCAACTGTCAGATAAAGTGCTTTATTCAAGGACACAAGCGAAATGCACAGCGAGGGATTGAAACCCTAAACTTTAAGAACCAAGATTCCACTCCATTTATTGACAAATATACAAGTACAGTACATGAAATTTGTTTTCATGGGTTGGGAATACACATTTATATAGATATAAATTAAATAATTACCTGAAAGACATAAATACATTGCATAAAATACTTAAATTATATTTAAATTAACAATAAATATAATATATGAGGGATGCCATCCCAAACCCAGCGTTACCGTCGCTGTAATGTATATGTGAGTACTGTACTGTACATACTTTAGTACAGCAAAGCTGTAATACTTTTACTCATAACTTTGGCAAAAGTAAATCAGTTCCAGTAATGAGCCATCATTTTAAAGCTTACGATGTAAAGAATCAGAATATATTCAAAACTCAATTTTCATTTGTTGGTAACTGCTGCTGGTTTTGGGATGGCAAGCTTCATGATGCAGTAATGAAGATCTGAGTTGTACTCTGAGGAGGTAAATGAGAAAAGCTGTTATATATGGAGGTCAAATGTTGAATTTGAGGGGTTCCCCACCTGTCACCATGTATTGCATGGCTGTGGAGAGAATCTTCACAGGCCACACATCCTGCACTCACACAATTATTGATACAGGCCTTGTCTGACAAACCAGTATTCAACAAATTTAAAAGAAAATGAAAATGAATGATAAATTTTGGGAATTTAATAATTCTGTTTATGAAAGAAAAAAAAATAATATAATACAATTATAAAAAAAAAAAAAATTAAAATAAGAATTATTAATAGTAATTTCAAAATAATATCATTTAATGCTCATTTCAAAATAAGATCTACTTTTGGGGTTTTGTCTACAGCCTGGCTGGGTGCGAAACCAACTATCAAGTCAATAAAGTTTTATCAGTGGAATACTGTGTAGGCCACATTGCAACCACAATGGGCTGTGCAAGTAGTGTAATTTGTGGATTACTATCAACTTACCGGGTGTGTCCGTGGTTTCATCACTAAGCCTGTGACCCACTAGGGCTTCTGTCTTGTTGAAGGCTACCAGGAGGATTTGGTGGCATAAAATCTGCCTCAATTGTCTCCTTCATAGCAATTCTTAACAGAAGAAAACAAAGACTTACATGTAATTGATAATGAATCTTTTGACTTCAATTTTTGAGGATTTTTATATCAAAGTAAAAACTACTATTGCTACAGGTATGTTTTTTTGGATTTGCATATATAGTAATATTAACAGGCAGACCTATATAATGCAAATAAACAAAGTCTCCATGCTTTTCCCATTAAAAATAATGAAAACCTTACTTTATAAGGAAGGGCATTTAAAAGGCAAATTTTCAACACAGCATCATCAAATCAATGCCAAACTGAGACAAAATTGAAACCACCAACTTGTTGGACAGCACCACCGTTCATTTCATAATCATGAAATCTTAGCAACTATAAATTGTTCACAGCAAATAGGGCCAAAATAAACTCTACAATTACTATCATTAATATTAAATAATGAGTGGAGTTGAAGCTTTGCGGGTAAGATCATGCCTTTGTTTGACATGTCTCCGGCCTTGGGCCTAAAACAATTAATAACATAAAATAAAAATATGCACGCTTGCTAAGGTACCCTACAAACACCAAAAATTTATCATTTACCAATAATTGCATATTAGTTTTGAGTATTATGCCATAATTTATTCAACATAAAAGTATTGTTTATATTGCTTTTGTAGTAGAACAATTTTAGGCAATTTGTTACTTAGTTAAAGTTTTTTAAAGATAAAATTGACTTTGTCCTGATCAGGATTTTTGTGGTATCCTCCTTTGCATTTTCTAATTTGGAGCATTTGTTTTCTCAAGGAATTGCGTAGTACGCAGCAAACAATAAAGAAGTTGATGACAGTTTGGTATGAAGGAACACCTTGCCAGTCAAGCCATAGGTGATAAGGTTTTCAAAAAAAAACATTGTCTCCATCAGGATTCGAACCCTAGACCCTCTATAAACTATTAGAATATTTGTCAATTTTGTTTTATTTTAGATATAAAGCACTTTTAATTCCCCGGGTCCACATGCTCGAATGTTGTTTCTGGTGGAAAGAAACCAACTGTCAGATAAAGTGCTTTATTCAAGGACACAAGCGAAATGCACAGCGAGGGATTGAAACCCTAACTTTAAGAACCAAGATTCCATTCCATTTATTGACAAATATACAATTACAGTACATGAAATTTGTTTTCATGGGTTGGGAATACACATTATATAGATATAAATTAAATAATTACCTGAAAGACATAAATACAGTGCATAAAATACTTAAATTATATTTAAATTAACAATAAATAGAATATATGAGGGATGCCATCCCAAACCCAGCGTTACCGTCGCTGTATGTTAAACTGAGTAATAACAATGTATATGTCAGTACTCTACTGTACATACTTTAGTACAGCAAAGCTGTAATACTTTTACTCATAACTTTGGCAAAAGTAAATCAGTTGCAGTAATGAGCCATCATTTTAAAGCTTACGATGTAAAGAATCAGAATATATTCAAAACTCAATTTTCATTTGTTGGTTACTGCTGCTGGTTTTGGGATGGCAAGCTTCACGATACAGTAATGAAGATCTGAGTTGTACTCTGAGGAGGTAAATGAGAAAAGCTGTTATATATGGAGGTCAAATGTTGAATTTGAGGGGTTCCACACCTGTCACCATGCATTGCATGGCTGTGGAGAGAATCTTTACATAGGCCACACATCCTGCACTCACACAATTATTGCTACAGGCCTTGTCTGACAAACCGGTATTCAACAAATTAAAAAAAAAATGAAAATGAATGATAAATTTTGGGAATTGATTAATTCTGTTAATGAAAAAAAAATAATAATATAATACAATTATAAAAAAAAAAAATGAAAATAAGAATTATTAATAGTAATTTCAAAATAATATCATTTAATGCTCATTTCAAAATAAGATCTACTTTTGGGGTTTTGTCTACAGCCTGGCTGGGTGCGAAACCAACTATCAAGTCAATCAAGTTTTATCAGTGGAATACTGTGTAAGGCCACATTGCAACCACAATGGGCTGTAGAAGTACTGTAGTGCAATTTGTGGATTACTATCAACTACCGGGTGTGTCTGTGGTTTCATCACTAAGCCTGTGACCTACTAGGGCTTCTGTATTGTTTATATTACTTTTGTACTTTGCATTTTCTAATTTGGAGCATTTATTTTCTCAAGGTATTGCGTAATATGCAGCAAACAATAAAGAAGTTGATGACAGTTTGGTATGAAGGAACACTTTGCCAGTCAAGCCATAGGTGATAAGGTTTTCAAAAAAAAAAAAAACATTGTCTCTATCAGGATTCGAACCCTAGACCCTCTATGAAATATGTGGATGCTCTATAAAATTACCATTTAAAATGTACACTAGCCCCCTCCCCCAGCCTACCCCACCCTCTCCCCAACTCCACCCCCAAAAACATAAAAAGATAAAAGATGCTCTATTTACCTCTTTACTGTTACTATTCAATGTTTCAACTGCATTCCTGACACTATCATAGAGGGCGCTATTGAGATCAGACTCATCATTCATGCTATCATATGTGGACTGCGCACTCTACTCAAATTGCTGGCTTTTAATTGGTTCATCTGAAACCAGCGAGTCCCTGCTTCTACTCACTATAGATTCCACTGTACATTCACTTGCAAAAGAATTTCTCTGACTTTCGAAGAAAACTTCTGAAACTGATGGCAGTACATTTTGCTGGAAGGAATATAAAAGGAAAAATTGATTTATGAATAATATAACTAACATGTAAACAGTGGGGGGGGGGGCTATACAGGGTCAAAAAAAGGGTGATATATTTCAAATACCAAATGTACAGGCCTTACATGAAGCGGCTTATTATTTTCCTGAACATTTTGGCTATACAGGGTAAAAAAAAGGGTGATATTTCAAATACCAAATGTACAGGCCTTACATGAAGCGGCTTATTTTCCTGAACATTTTGGCTATACAAGGTAAAAAAATGGGTGATATTTCAAATACCAAATGTACAGGCCTTACATGAAGCGGCTTATTTTCCTGAACATTTTGGCTATACAGGGTAAAAAAAAGGGTGATATTTCAAATACCAAATGTACAGGCCTTACATGAAGCGGCTTATTGTCCTGAACATTTTGGTATACAGGATAAAAAAAATTGTAATATTTCAAATACCAAATGTAAATAATATAACTAACATGTAAACAGTGGGGGGGGGGGGCTATACAGGGTCAAAAAAAGGGTGATATTATTCAAATACCAAATGTACAGGCCTTACATGAAGCGGCTTCTTGTCCTGAACATTTTGGCACCTTTTTAAAGAAATCTGGTTGAAAAATGGCCAACAAACAAAATTGAGGGATGAGGGGGAAAAAATTACCCCCATCAGCTGTGGAAATACATGAAAAAGGTCGTAAATTTTTTATCTGAAGTCATATTTTAGTGATATAGTGTCTACATATATATATATATATATAAATATATATATAAATATATATATAAATATATATATATATGTTTTTGAGATGTATATGTATATATATATATATATCTATATATATGTGTGTGTGTATTTGAGGTCAAGAAACTGAATAGTGGTGTCAGAAATACTTAAAAATGTAAATATAGTGGTTAAATTTTACGATTTTTTTTTTTTTGGGAGCGTTACGGTAGGAGTACAAGTTACGTATTGTACGAAAAAAATATGCACAGTTAATTTTTTTTTTCCATCAATAATCATTTTAGCAATATCTATTTCCATTCTTCTTGTACTTTTTAAATCATAAAAGATTTTAATGAGCATCGTAGTGCTATATGTATCTTAGTTTTGATAACGTCTAATGGTGCGTACAGTATCAACAACCATTAGACATGCTGTGTAGAGTACAATCATTTTGCAACACACAGAAGGTTCATCAATAAGAACAATTTCAGGGGTATTTGCTTATCTACTGAACATCAAGGGTAACCCTCCCACCCAGTCTGTGCACTAATGGTGTCCTTCAGGTGGTGATTGGTTAGTCCAGCAAGAGACCAACCTCAGTATTTTCCAAACAAGCGCATTCTTTACCATGCACATTGGACAGGGTGTAAACAACTCTTCTGAGAGGCATATTTCAGTCCTCTAGCTGAAACGCAAGGAGAGCAGCAGAGCGGATTATACAAATACGTTACATAAACACTTACAATCAATTTGTCTCCATATTTCTGCACACAGAGTGGCTATCATCACTAGTTTAGCTGATACTTGCATCTACAAATCTACACAAAATTCTACAAAAAAAGTTATTAAATCCAGGGATCTCAGCGAGCAAGTTGTGTAGTATTTGTTAATCATTATATAATAAAAATATATATAATTTTCTAATTGTTTCATTGAGTGGATATAGCCTATAGAAAAGCAAATGCCCCTGAAATTAGTGTTATTGATAAAACTTCCATGTGTTGCAACAATAATGGTTACACAGTATAGCATGTCTATAGTAGTCAATATTGTAGGCCTATACATTATCAGTCATCCAAAGTAAGATACACATAAGCTTAATGCTTGTTAAAATGCTTTGTAAATTTAATATAAAGCTGGTGGAGGTCATTGCTATGCTACAATGATTAATGACAGAAAAAAAATTACATAGTATGGTACCTATTTTTTATCCTAGAGTGCGTATCTTGTATAAGCATAACATTTAAAAATCCCCACTATAATTAAATTTTTAAGCTATTTCTGACACCACTAATCAATTCCTTGGCCTCAAAACATATTATAGACACTATTATATTACCAAAATGTGACTTCAGATAAAAATTTGAGACCTTTTTCACGTATTTTAACCATCGAAAGTGTCATTTCCCTACCTCCCCCCACCCCTTGCCTCAATTTCGTTTTTTGGCCGGCACTCTCCCATTTTTTAACCGATTTTCTTAAAAAAGGTGTCAAAATGTTCAAGACAATAAGCCACTTCATTTAAGATCTGTTCATTTGCTATGTGAAATATCACACTTTTATAGTCCACCACAAATTTAAGTACAGTAATACATCTCGGTCATATTTAAATAAATTTTAAATGTTGTTATTAAATTTGTATTTTATTTAAAATCGGTACATTTCTCCTGATCAGTGGCATATCTAGGAGTCTGGAAATAGGGGGTGGGGGGAGGGGTTGCTGCTGTCTCTTATACACATCTAGATGTGTATAAGAGTGCTCGACCATTAAGTGAGGAGGTGCTAGCTCACAATAATTAGGAGACATGAGGTGATCTTTATATACCTTGAGCTTGACTTTTTTTGCTTCAAACATTTTTAATAGTGTGACACCCTTCTCCACACACCCCTAGATACATACGCCACTGCCTGTGATTAAAATCAAAAGGTTTTTCATCTACAGCAGGTGCTGTGTGTAAAACCTCCTTAAAACACTTCTTAGCTATTAGTGCTGCTGGGAGTACTAAGTGAACCAAGTCAGTGGTAGTGTGTAAAGGCCACATTGCAACCACAGTGGGCTGTGCAAGTAGTGCAATTTGTGGATTACTATCAACTTACCGGGTGTGTTTGTGGCTCTATACTGCTAAGCCTGTGTCTGACCCCTTTGGGGCTTCTGCCTAGCTGAGGGCTATGAGGAGGATTTTTGTGGCATAAAATCTGTCTCAACTGTCTTCTTCATAGTAATTCTTAGAAGAAAAATATACAGATACAAGAATGGACGACCTCCTTACTTATGGTGAACCGACATGTAAATAACAATCAATCTTTCTACTTTTGACAATTTTTCAGTGAATCTCGGCTATGTTTTAAGGATTTCACATAACAACAACACAGGTAGACACATAGTGGAAAATAAGTCTATGCCTTTCCATTAAAGGTAAAGAAAACCTAAATTAGGTGGATTACATATTTGTTAAACAAATTATATGTAACTTGACATAATTTATCATCACTGTTAAAAAATCCCAAGGCTACATTTACATAAAACCATACTGTTCCCGCTGCACCAAACAACATATAAAACTATTGTTTTAATATTTGTGCTGATTTCATATTATAAAATTATTTGTATGTGCATTGCACTGCAAATTGTTGCTATAAATTAGTTCTAATTCCACTTAGCTGATTCCTTATGTCAATAAAAATAAAATTATACAGAATATATGTCATGGTTGTATGAAAACATGCCAAAAACTCCTATTAAGGGGACAATTTTGGTTTTTGGTTTGTGTCTCCTGAAGTGATACCAATATTAAGGGGACACCCCTATTAAGGGGACACTTTTTCTAGTCCCGATGGTGTCCCCTTAACAGGGGTTCTACTTTAATAAGTTGCCAAAAAAATCTGGATAAATCTGCACACTGCATTAGAGAAAAAATTATTAAGTTGCCATGGTCTGAATCTATTTTGACTGCAGTACAGTATATTTCAACCACAGTACAGTATATTTCAACCACAGTACAGTATACAGTATTTCAACCACACATGAAAACCACAGGAAGTGCTATTTCTGTTGAATTACTAATTTTTATATAGACATACAGTAGTACAGATTACCAATATTGACACTACAATTTACAGTTTTGTTTAATTTTTTACACCATACAGAAATACATTAAGGTGGCACACACTGCACTGATAGTCATCGGCCAGCGTGAGGAGGTGCCTCAAATAAATGTGTTTTTTTTTTAATCGTATCCTTCTCAAACTGCCACAGACAATCAGCAGTCAGAGAGCGGAAATAGATTCGTCGACAGACTGTCGCAATGTTTGCTCGATAATAGTTGTAATAGCATTTTCATTTAGCAGTGAAAGGTAAAACATTCTGAGAATGATGTGTGCTGCTGTTCTGGGTAATTATTATGGCTATTTTTGCCACAGTAAGATTTTTACTGAAGTACGCAGTACATACATTCGTTTTAAGACATGCTTTTGTTAACTGTCATGCATTTTTTTTTATTATGTCAGTTACGGTGTAGTAAAGACAAAGGTAGAGTCTGTCCTGAAGACCATCATCCTAGACGAAGTATAAAGAAAAAGCGTAGACTACACAAACCAGCAGTCTATACCTCAACAAAACTAGTGACGGTACTTACTGTAAGCTAGAATACCCCTCAAAAATAATAGAACAGTCAATTCTCAGGTCTATGTTACTCAACAATATTTGCATCTGCATGGTCGGTTGCATCGTGATACATGAGGCTACTGGTCAGTTGCAAGATGCATGATACATGAGGCTACTGGTCAGTTGCAAGATGCATGAGGCTACTGGTCAGTTGCATGATACATGAGGCTGGTCAGTTGCAAGATGCATGAGGCTCTGGTCACTTGCCAGATGCATGATACATGAAGCTACTAATCGGATGCATCTCAGTCAATCATAAAATAGGGACCTCAGGATGTTTACAATAATGATGCTTTCCTGCTGAATATGTGAACATTTATATGTGCTAAATACTGTCACAAGGTGACGTTGAAATTGTGGAGCAAACAAACAACTTGGGAAGGAATACAATTTAACAATTATACTAAATGAAATGATAATTATTACCAAATACTGATTAATTATGTTTGATATAAAATGATAAAGTTAATAACTTGAGTTAAATAGTGGTATCTCCTACCTTTCCAGCATCTCGATCAACTTTAACTGCACTCAACAATACAGAGCAAATTTGACATCTTATGGCTCTTGTAAAGTGAAGAGAGCATGGGGGGTAATTTTAGCTCTGTGGTGTGCTGATCTTTCAACACCTTTCCGTCCATTGCTCAATTCTATCTGGGCTCTCCTTTTTGATGTGACACCTGGAGGCATGGAATGCAAGTTACAATAGCACAAATAAAGCACATTCTGCAGAGAAGAGGCCTAAACAGTATGGGATTGCCTCCTCAGTGTACTACCGATTTACTACAATGACACATTAGAAAATATTAGTTTCAGATTTTATCGATTCCAACAAATTATCACTATAAATACAGTACTTTTAAAATAGTAACATAAAGGTAAATGTAGGAGAATAAGCATTAACTAACAGCATCATTGTGCTTAATATGGGCGTGGTTTGGGCGTGGTTTGTGATACTGGAGCAGCTGCGTTAAAAAAAGTTAAATTGCACCAAGTGCCATGAGCCACTTGTGGTATATATTGCCAATATACAAATTGCCATTTATTATATTTTTAAATATTAGAAGTGTGAGGTAGGAAATCCCAAAATTTGCTTGATTTGAGATGGAATGACCCTTCCACTTCTCACAGGGCTTCCTTTTTGTCACCGCACCCTCTCTACCAAACAAAACAAACTACAAACAAACAAACTGCCTCTGGAATTTTTTCATGATATACTTCCATTTCAAATTACAGGTCTCTAAAGACCCCACCAATTAATGACCACCTCCAATTAAAGAAAACTGTGTTGTGGTCTCAAATTAGCCAAAGCTGAAAGACTACTGAAACCCTGGTCACAAAAGTGGTCTCTAATTGGAGGGAGACACTATAATTTTTCTTGCAGCACTGTGAGGCAACCAATGCGAGAGCACTTCGCAATAAAATTAATATTAAATATTATTAAATAAAATAAAAGCAATCATTTGAGCATACCTTAGTTTGACAAGATTTGCCTCTTTAACTGATTTCAGTGAGTTTGGTTGACAATGAAAATTTCAGTGATGCTAACTAAGAGTAGTAGCAAGACATTATAACGTTCGCAATCACTCGGCCATGCACTCAATCAGTTTTTCAAACTAAAAAACAAAAGATTATCGTCATTTGACCTTCAAAACCCGAGAAAGAATATGATCGCACCAGTAGAAGCACTAGCGGGGCAGGGGAATAATCCCCAGTTGGACAGACCCCCCCCCCCCAACTCAAGACTCAAGATTCAGATTCCATTTAATTTAATAAATGAAATGCACATGAAATTTGTTTTCCTGACTTAGGAATACACAAAATATACACAAAAGTTAAATAATTACCTGAAAGACAAAGATTAAAAACATAAATACAGTGCATGCAATACTTAAATTACAGCTAAATTAATAATAGAATATACAGTAAAGAAGGTCTAACTGAGCTGTATACTCATAGGAGGTAAACAAATTTGAGTTGTTTAGAAAATGGATCAAAATAGAAGAACAAAGTGAGGATGTACCACTGTGCACTTTTGTTTTTCTATTTGATGTGACACTCTGTACTTGGCGCTATGTATATGTGAATAGTTGAGGTCAAATATTGATAATTTGAGGGGTACCATACCTGTCACTGTGCATTACATGGCTGTGGAGAGAATCTTCAGATCTACAGGCCACACATCCTGTCATCACACAATGGCTACAGGCCTTGTCTCCCAAACCACTGTTCAACAAAGTAAATAATTAAAATGAATATATGTATTATGTAACAATTAAATAACTTTTTTATTCTGAATATATTGCTATCATTCTTTCTGTGTCTCTTTGTGTTGATTTTTATTGATTGGTTATTGTTAAACTTCAATTATGTATACAAGATTGCAATAAAATATGAAGAATTAGAAATCAGGCCTGGAATTTGCCTTCTTTATATCTAATTAATTTTTTTTTTCTTGTTGCCAAAAAAAAAATAAAAACCTGACAAAGAAATCTATGCTAAAAATCAAATCTTAGCAACTTGAAATTGTTTACAGCAGATGGCACCAAAACAAGCTCTACAATTATTATCATATACCATTAATATGATTGAATGGAGTTGAATAGCTTGGTGGAGGGAACCTTACCTTCCAATCCCAGGGTTTGATTCCTGTTACAAAAACAGGACTTTTTCTCATGACCAAAACAACTCAAATCCCTAAGCCTCATAATAAGAGACTTGGTTTACTTAGAGGATCTTGTGTTTACATTTGTCTGGTAAAGGGATATGTCACTTAGAAAACTGATGGAATGATTTCGATTTGAATTTCTTCTATGCGATACACACCAAGGATTATGTTTGCTGTTTGGCAGATCCTTGGCTTAGGGCCTAAAACAATTAATAAAATAAAATAAAATACACACGCCTGCTAAAGTACCCTACGCACAACACAATTTATCATTTACCCATTGCACATCACTTTGAGTATGATGCCATTCATTATATTATTGTTTCTATTAATCTTGTAGTAGCAAAATTTTTTTCTTCTGCCTTACCTCTCGGCCACTCGACTAGCCTCATGTGATAACTGTGTGGATGCTCTATCAACTGAGTTGCAGTATTTAATGTTGAACCCCATTTGGTTTTCCCATTTTTTTTCAAAGGTATTGCGCAAAAAAAAAATATACTAAAATATACACTATTGATAAAGATGATGAGAAGTTTACAAGAACAATGTACTGTTGATCCCATTGATATTCAAACTATTAAGACCCATGGGCTGAGCAGTTGACTCAGAGGTATTGTTCCTGCTTCTTGTGCTGAAGACCGTGGTTCAAACCCGGCCAGCGGTGGCTTTTAATAGGAGTCTGATCGCTTGGCTCCTCAAAGATGGAAAAATTAATTTCCGGAAGACCTACAGTGGCTGATCCTGGAATTCAAACTCCATGATTTCCAGGAGACTTGGGACTCCTGCTATCCTAACATGTAAGTACTACTTTACTGTAAACAACCTTATCCTTTAATAGTTTATCTGTGTTCATTTACTACTGAATTATTCACAATTAGAATTGAGTTTGAAGCATGTATAGTAGTATAATTACTATGCCATTCAAAGATATCGTTTGTTTTTTTTCTTATTTTGAATGCTTTTTTTTTTGTGATGCTTTTTCAATTTGTCCATCAAAATAAAACAAATTTATATAAATAGAAAAACAGATGCTCTATTACCTCTTTACTTTCACTATTCAATGTTTCAACTGCACTCCAGACGCTATCATAGAGGGCGCTATTGAAATAAGACTCATTCATCCTGACATGTGGAATGGGTACACTGCTTGGCTTGCTGGCTTTTAATTGGTCCATATGAAACCAGCGAATCCCTGCTTCTCGCCATAGATTTCACTGCAACAGAATTTTTCTGCTTCTGGTGTAAAACTTCTGAAGTTGATGGTTGTGTCTTTTGCTGGAAGAGCAGGAAAAAAAGATTATTGCATACTTAACATGTAAATAAAAACATATCGGTTATTCATCTAATCAATTAAAATACTGTTGTTGTTATTAAATATTCTATCTAATATCGGTAAAAATCTCCTACAGTCAGTGGTGTATCTAGTCTGGAAATGGGGAAGGGGTTGATGTGTTAGGGGGGGGGAGTGGCGAAGTGGAGGACTTGTTTAAGTGAGGAAATGTTAGTTTACAAAAATAAGGTGATTTTATCTACTTGAGCATGATATACTTTGCCTTGAACATTTTAAATGGGAAGGTGCAAGTTTTTTAGGGGAGGATTGAGTGCGTGCAAATGATGCTCAATGATGGTGATATTTCCAAACTTGTGCTTTAGTTAAATCTTGATTGGATTATTGCAAATGGTTCTTTATGGCTTTTGTACTACAAACTGCTGAGGAAAGTCCAGCTAACCGTGGGCATACAGCACATCCCCAACTGTACATTGTCTCCATTGGTTACCCATTTATCTGAGAATTAACTTCAAGATCTTGTTATTTGTATATACTGTAAGTCACTCCATAAATCATTCCCCCACTACATCTCCAATCTTATTTCACTTCGTTTTGCTGTTTGCAGCCGCAGACTTGGGTCTACCTCATCTTCACTTACCATTCATAACTGTCCCATTGGTCACCACACAACTTGTGGCGATAGTTGTTTCTGGTTGCTGCTCCAAAGCTTTGAAACCAACTACTGTACCTGAGACTGTTTGACTGTCTTCAATTCTTGGCTCAAATCCCATCTTTTTTCTTTATTTTAATTCTGAACTCGATTACTTTTCTTTTGATTTTTGTTTAAAGTTCTTTCTATTTTTGTGTGCACTTGGGCTGTGGTTTCTTTACAGAGAAACGATTTTGTATTATGCGCCTTATTAGTTTATCACTATACCATTTCCCAGTAATGAAGTAGTGCAATTTGTGGATTACTATCAACTTTAATACCGGGTGTGTTTGTGGCTCCACAGCTAAGCCTGTGTCTGACCCCCCTGGGGCTTCTGCCTTGCTGGGCTACTAGGTGGATTTAGTGGCATAAAATGCATCTCAACTGTTTCCTTCATAGTAATTCTTAAAAGAAGACAACAAAGACTAAGAAGAAGATAACCGCCATGGAGTGAACCCACGTGTACAGTAATTGATAACGATTTCAATTTTTAAAGACTTTTTTCTATTAAGTAAAACTTACTACTGAAATGGTTCTTTTTTTTTTGGATTTGCATATAGTGATATTTAGGTAGACCTATATATAAGTGCAAATAAACAAGGTCTCTATGCTTTACTCATTAAAACACTAATAAAAACCTAAACTAAGTAAATAACCATCACCCACCACTTAATAATATTTATTATTGACCTATTTTATCATCATTTAAAAAAAAAATCTTTTGTTAGTATACTTATTTCTTTACATAAAACCGACAACCTGCAAATATTACTACCATCCTATTATACATTTTATTGTTGTATTTTGTATTGATGTTGGCCAGAGGCTTAGAGATGACCACTTGATGTGTTGTTGAGCTTAATTCCCATGTCATTTCTAGTCACACCCCTGGTCAATATTTAAAGGTATTTGAGGAATCCTCTATTCATAAAAATTTGTTTAACTTTATAGGGAAGGGCATTTAAAAGGCAAATTTTCAACACTGCATGAACATATCAAAGGCAAGATCTTATTTTACCTGAGAGTATTTGTAAAAAATCAACTTAGCTTTTTGTTCAAAACCTGGACTGTTGATTGGGATTGGGGGGATGGGGGGGGGGGGGGCATTACATAAAATCAGATGTAACCTATAGAGTAAGGGCAGGCATAGAAGAGGTGGGCTTATACCCAAAACACTGCAGTATCACATGAATAGGAAGAGTCTGTACACATACCTGTCTCAATTGTTCTTCTTGGTCCTGTATCCACAATCTCCATCGAAGACCATTCCTTTGATATTAACATACGAGTAGAAATAATTATGATCCTTAAACTTGCAAATCATGGAACCACTATATGCACTATAAAAAAAAATATTACATATTAAAATAGCAACCTGAAGAAGTTGATTGCATAAAGAAAAAGCTGGGTGTTCAATGAATTATATTTTGTGTATTAAAAGTGCTGTTTGATATATTTTTTTACTGATTTAGTTCAGACTAATACAGCTACTCAGGGGTCCTAAGTTGGAAGAAGTCACTTGCTGGAGATCTGGTTTTAATGAGCTTCTTAAAAACACATGTAACTTTATTTAGCTGCACATGGTGATACTCATCAGCAGCTGACTTGCATGAGACCATTGATAATTACAGTACTGTAGTATAAACATGTAAATATTAGGAATTTGCGCAAGATTGGTTCATTTCCAGGAGATTTCTGCTTTCTTGGGGAATTGCCATAGGCCATCTTGTTTTGCTGGCGATCCCTGTGACTCTTTGAGATTTGGCACCCCTGGGCTACTACTACTACTAAATAATGTATATATTATAAATTTGCGTATTAAGATTGGTTAATTTTCAGGAGATTTCTGCTTTCTTGGGGAATTGCCATAGGCCATCTTGTTTTGCTGGTGATCCCTGTGATGTGGCATGCCTGGGCTACTACTACTACTAAAAATAACTTTATTTAGCACAAACAATATCCAATTAAAATGATCACAGGCGCTGTACAGGATTTTAAAATATAAATTTACAAAAAATCAATACTCGATATACTACATGATATAACAAGATATGAATTTGGGAAGACATCAAATTCTACATTTTTTTCTGTGCTTAATATCAGTTTCTGGTTTTACGGCTTTCTTTGCTTTTCAAGCTTTCTAGGGCTTTCCTTTTTATTTCTTTTTTGTCATTCTAGTGTTGAAAGTAAAGTGATCAATGATACCTATAAGCTTTTTAAAAAAAAAGAAGCATTAACATTTATTTGTAGACATGTTTCATTGCCAACATAATGGGGTGGGTAATGTTTGGCAATTAGGCCTAAAATATAGGCACATAGGCATAGTTAAATGCTGTTGTACTTTGAAACTAAACACAGCCATTTTTCCCTTATAAAAAATAGTACGATTGCCTAGTGCATTTATTAAAATACAATTTCAAAATTTTACTACAAAACACAGGTTGTTTGTGCTTTTAATAATTGAGTAGAAAATGTGAAAATAATAAACTATTAGCTTACAAAACATCATTAGAACAAGCAGAAAAATTTTTTTAAATAATGTGTTTGTGTTATTGCTCAATAATCAATCAGTCAGTTAATCAATAAACCAATGCATACATGCATAAATAAATCATCACAAAAAATCAATAAGAAAATGTACTTTTTACTATATTATTATTGCGAATTTTGACTTACTATTATTACGTTACCACAAAACTCCTAATACGATAAAGGTATTGTTGGCAAAATATCTTAAAGACTTGTTTTTGTAATTGTACAAATGATGTGAATGTTCAGTACATGTACTTTGTTTTAATGCCTACTGTATTATTGTTTTACTCTATAAATCACATTACACAATTCAAAACCAGTTGAAATTGTTTGATCATCTTTTATTGAGAGTTTGGTAGGTTAAAGGACAATGTTTGTATTTGTATGTGTCTCTCATATGTTGTAGTTAAATTGGGTGACTGCACTGCAGCCATTGGTCCCCATCCCAAATTTCTAATTTTCCGTTAGAATGAGGACAAATAATATTATTATTATTATTATTATTATTAAAATTTACTACTCTTTCAACTAAAGGCCAGACATGTTTAAATACTGTACCTTGTTTAATCAAACCAGCCTACTGCAAATATTGATGATTTCAAATAAAAATAAAATTTTACGAAAAAGTGGAAATTTCAGAAAAAATAGAAGATTTACTTCATTTTTATTACGCCCTCAGATGATAAGATATGTACTGTATATTTCTTTCTAATTATATAAATTTGAAGCATTTCCATCCTATTTTACATTCACCAAAAATATTTATTTTTATTTTCTCCTCTGTCTGGATTTTGACAAAACTATTTGCTAAATAAGAAAATAAAATTTTATCTTTATTTTTAATTAATCTTTAAAAAAATAAGTATGTGAAACAAGAAATAAAAGCTACAGTATGAGGGCAGCATTGTAACTAATTCTAGATGAGTGCCTGTTGGGGATCTGCTCATGAAGACAGAGACCGCGATGGTCATGTAAAGCAGAGTGCTGAATGTGGCCAGAAAGTTGGAGGTGCCAGAGAAGACCAGTTGGACAGCCAAAGATAACATGGCGAGCAGGATAAGAACCTGATAAGAACCTAATTCTAATTCTAATTGATAAGAACCTGGTGGAAAAATGATGTCAAAATATGAATAAGTCTGATAC